TTCTCAAGAAAATGGCTTGGAGAATGCCCCCCCAAAAAAAGTAACAACGGGACTAATTTTTGAACTGCTGATTTTTCAGGAACGCTTGGGTACTCTTTAGAAAGCTTGAATCCTGTAGTTTATTCATACCGTGTTCAGCTTCCCAAATGAATGACTTTGAAGGAAGTTATGATCGTTTAAAGGTCAAAAAGTCGCATTTGCACAGAAAAAAGTAACAACGTGCTAAATTTTTATTAAATTAACTTTCGAAGAATTTTTAGCCATGATTGGAGAGAGAATAATTTGAATTTTCAAATCAAATCACTTCGGCGCAAAAGCTTGAATATGAAGGAAGTTATAGCCCTAGAAAGAGGAAGGTAAAAATTGTAGTGCAATTTTATTTCTTGCTTAATAACTTATTCATTTCAAATTGTTTGAGAATGAGCTTTACTTAGAAAGGCTGAGCCTCGTGATCCAAAATCCACCTCCATCTTCCGAAACCTAAAATTGAATGAAGAAAAATTCGTCTACATTTCAATATCCCCCTTCGGCGCCAGGGTCAATCGAGGCGTTGAGGAAAATTTTGAAATACGACCCCCCCCCTGCCGCTGGAGTCGCAGAATTCCATATGCCCTACTTCTCTTCTCTAGGAAAAGTGTAAATGTGTGCGTTGCATCGTAGCGTGTGTTTTGTGTTTGTGTGGCTTTGTGAGTGTATTATGTACTATAATGAACCTGCTGTGATCACTCTGCCACCATTTTTCTCAATTTATTCGCGTAATTCGAACAACGTATACAACGTATAAGAGAACAACAACTTCATAACTTCACAACATTAGAATACAATACCAGTAATATATTCAATACCAATACCAATTCACGGGTAGGTTGGGCAGGTAGTATAAGAAGAGTTAAGTGACGGCGCGGGCGGAGCGGAAGGCTTCAGTTCCTCATCCATGCGCTTGCTGTTAGGACGAATTCTGACGCAAGAATAGTGTTCCCAGAGGTACATCTGGAAAAAAAATTTACGATAGGAAAAAGTGGCAATGAAAATTGAACTTACTATCAGAGTAAGCTATGCACAAAGCCATAATAGTGAGCACGAATATGATCTGGCCAGCGAAGGCGGCGAAGATGATCGAGGCAGTATCGCAGTTGCCTGCGTCCTCTGGCCCCTTGACAAGGGGTGAAGTTGCTCCGGAATGCCCTTCATACCTGAAAAGAGATGAGCATACTTTGTATAAAAATGTTTAATTTAAACAAAAAAAAACTAAGTCAATGTAAAATGTCTAGTCTTGAATCAACTAATGTGAGCAACTGGAACCTGACTCAACCCTCATCATATGACATGTATTCAAAGTTAAAATCAAAAGATATTTTGATCACATGACATGTATTCAAAGTTAAAATCAAAAAATATTTTGATAAGGTGAAAAAGTCGCGCATATCAAAAACATGTATGAGCTCACCCGTAAGGGACCCGACTTCTTCTAAACGTCTACGCGAAAAAAAAAACGGCTACCTGAAAAAGCCAGAATAAATGTTGGTATAAGAATAACGAAGCAAAAAAATAAGTGAAACAGCGATTATATCAACTAAAATTACTAATGAACTCACCCGTAGGCGACTCCACTGCGCAGAAACAATGAAATATGCTCCAACACAAACAAGGACATACGCACACACGACACGACAAACAAGAAATTACGATAATGAAACGATCTCGGCAATCAAAATCAGGCAGCGTTTCTTTCAATGCAGCAGCCATTTACATGCGATCGCGCAGTAACACGTGGTTGGTGTTCAAATCTGCAGTCGCCCGCCGAATTTCGTAATGGCGCGCTAACGTCGCCACAATACCCTTTGTTTGGAACAACATACACATTTTTTGGTGGATGGCGCGGGTATGAAGAAGCGATGCTTACTAATGATTCAACCACCTGAGTTCTTCCGCACGCTGTCGCAAGTATTACACAGTGGCTCAATACAGTTGAAGAACCTCATCGGCTTAGGTCATCGACTAAAGTTGTCTTGCCGTGTGGAATGCGTCAGCTAATACCTCGTAATTTACCCAGCTTCAATGAAGCCTGTGTGATGCTTGCGACTGCGTGTGGAGTCAGAGTGGTTATGGGAATACGAAAATTAAGTTGTAAGATAAGTGGGGCCTTTCTTTTTCTCAGACGCAAATTTGCACTCCAAGCTCCCAACCTTTCGTTTGGCTTCTTTGCTCTATACCCAACAGTCTTTTCTGGCTTTTTCAGGTAGCCGTTTTTTTTTCGCGTAGACGTTTAGAAGAAGTCGGGTCCCTTACGGGTGAGCTCATACATGTTTTTGATATGCGCGACTTTTTCACCTTATCAAAATATTTTTTGATTTTAACTTTGAATACATGTCATGTGATCAAAATATCTTTTGATTTTAACTTTGAATACATGTCATATGATGAGGGTTGAGTCAGGTTCCAGTTGCTCACATTAGTTTTGATTCAAGACTAGACATTTTACATTGACTTAGTTTTTTTTTTTGTTTAAATTAAACATTTTTATACAAAGTATGCTCATCTCTTTTTAGGTATGAAGGGCATTCCGG